GCCTGGTACTTCGTACTGAAGGTGGGCTTGAAGACTAATTTCCTTAAGATTGGGATCGTTGGCCCAGATTCCCGATATTGCTAGCTCCTGAGTTGGTGTAGTTCGCAAATAGAACTATGTCAACCTGACAACCAGAGAGTTCTAGTCCAGTCGAAAAACACGGCGAAATTCTTTTTGGCTTTCGACTCATTCTTGACATATCGATGATCGCTGGCGTCAGAAACAATAATGGAAAAGAAAATAGAACCATGATCCTGTCGGCTCCACTGTGGCTCTAAATGTTTGCGTGTTTCCCGCTGCGTCCCTCTGCTGAATGTCCTGGGAACTCAGGGGAAGACATGGACATTTGGTAGGATACTTCGAGTCCATCTCATGGTCCCACTGTTCCCGTAACAGGTGGCATGGATGACAGGTAGTTATCGATGACAGCGCAGAGGTAGTCGACAAATTAATATACCGACCGGAACGGCCTCGTGACTCTCCGTGTACCTTCCCCAATCGAGGCTTTCCCTTTGTTCGACCTTTCGAAACTCAGACAGCATCAAGATTTGGGCTATCCACCATCGGTGTTTCACATCTCGAAGTTTGATCAAATTATCTCAACCTAATCATGCCATCGTCACGAACACCTAGATTACATATAACACTTGGCTCGCAGCGAATTATCGATAATGACTTGCAGGTACGATGTTAAGCTGTTTGAACATATTGACAAGGGGTATCGGGAACCACAAGAACAGGAGGAACAGAGGCAAAAGCCTTTTCCTTAGATGCATTGATGCCATTATGAAGAATTTCAATAGCTAACGTCTTTGCTTGTCAGACAGGTCGCAAGTGAAGTGAAACTTGCCAGAACGCCAGTGACGGGACGTTTGCACATGAGAAATCCTGCTACGCTCCAGACTCCAAAATCTAAAATCCCTTCTGATCCAATGCGAAGTATGGGTTCAGTTCGCTGGTTCGTTCGGCTGACTGAGACCGTTCCTGGCCTACTGGACGATCACACGGCACCCACCAATAATAACTGGTCTTGTTCAACGCGTTGGGTGCTTGCGGGATCCATCGAGACCCGTTCTTTGCCTTTTGACTGGTGTCTGCTTCTCCATTTCCCTTAGTCATCGGCTTAAGAAGTTAAGTCCATTCCGTAAACTTCGCAGCAGGTGGCTATGTGACTGAGCAACTGAGCACCTTCTGATGCACCCGTTCATGCTCGTTGCTGCTGTTTTGATTCAATCGCTATGCTGCTTGTGACTGTTGTCTCTAGGGTTTCAAATTCGCTCAACTGATCCCGACTTGCTGGCAATGCAGGCTGCAGCATTGCTCTTGAGTGGGGTGGGCTTGAGCTTGGACTTGGTAAGTGGTAAGGGTCTTGGTCATGCAAATTCTGGATATGTACTCTGTAAGAACTTTAAAGCCAAGGAGGCTGCTGCAGACTGCACGTGCCAGGAAATCTTCTTAAAAAGCTCATCCTTGTTGATTGTGGCTTTGTGAGTATGCCATAGCCACCACGAAAAGTGGGCAGGATGAAGTGTCAATGACCTGGTGTATGACTCCATGCACGGAGTTCTTCCTAGTTGATATGAACTACTCTGTAGCCTATTGAATTACGAATTGAGCTCAAGCGGTACAGTAATCTAACCCCTCCTGAAAGAGACCCAGAGTCCTGTCTGTGTGTGCCTGTAAGCTTCGTCCCTCATAGTGGATATCCGGAACTGAGCCACTACTTCCCCCTGATCCAGGAACACCTGTGGGATCTGCGAACTAGACAGCCTTTGAAATTATTGGATTATTTTCAATTGCCTGGCGGATTATCTCTCCTTTGCAGGATCAGATTATCGTCAATCCTCTGGGGGACTCTCCCTTTTTCTTTCTTAACTCGTTGAGACGAAATATGCAGGCTACTTGTCTGGGATAACCCAGAATCAACTTACACCTGATTCAGAAATCATTGAAGCATCATGTCTAATGATACGATCTTTGAGACTGTCTAATCGCTCTTCCGATTCCATTCCTTTGTCATCTTTACCTGGATCAGTATTCCTCTTTTCTCTTTTCGGGTACGGAGTACATCTGAGTCTCTTAGCCGGTACCAAAGACAATCCCCTTTTACACAGGGACTCCCTCACTTGCGATACTCCTGTCAGCCAAATTTCTCTGGCTGTCGTTCATCATGGCTATCCTGAAGAGACTTTTCCAGGCCGAAAAAAGTTCATCAGCAGACGCGGCTGATTCAGACGAAGCCCGGGGTCCACCGACTCAAGCTGTCAATCCACTGCAGAGGTCCATGAGCTTGAATACTTCACGGCAACTGAACGCCGACGAAAATTTCCAAAGCATTGAGAAACAGTTCAAAGAATTGCACGACCAAATGCAGGCCCGGCCTTTATCTTCTCGCTCCCATGCTCCATCCTCTGGTGTTTCAAGTCGTTTCACGCAGCGCAATCCGCGACATGTCGACCTACTGGATGCCTTGTTCTCGTCGCATAGATATCAGGTGCAGATAGCCAATGCACTGTCGCCTACTACCCCTTTCAATGAAGATATCGCTGAGCGCAATATGGTTCGATTTCTTCAGGGACAACCGCGGACGAAGAAGGTATATTCCCGTATCATCTCGGCTCTTTATCAAGAAGATGTGGCAGACAGGAACATTGCAAAGAATCGAACGAACAAACGCACGATATCTCGAACCGCTAGCTCTCGATCGCAGCCTGCATCAACGTCAAGTGGTGAGGTAACTCAGCGTGAAGTCGCTAGCCAGTCTCTTCCAAGGGCCAATGGGGACAAAATCACACCATCAGGCTCACGGCCAGGTTCGAGCTCCTCGTCACAACCTCGTCCTTTATGGACTCACAGGTCGACGCCGAATATAATGACTGAATGTGCAAATGCGTCGGGAGAACAATCTGCGCCTAATGATGGAGGCTACTTGGACATCCCTCCAGCCCACAAGCAAGGCGACAAATGGAGCAACACACCGCTACCTGACAGTCCAACATTACCTGTGCCAATGACTCAAGGTCGAAAGATGGGTCCATCGGAAGAGAAGGGCACTCTTGAACTGGCGAGAAGCTCGACGTCAACCCGCAGTAATGGCTCATCCACATCACCCAGACTCAACTCGAAGAGAAATGTCCGGGACCTTTCTATCAACACGGAGTTAGCGGCTCGAGGGAAACCTACGTCAAGGATCTCGCACCGTGCAATCCAGCCACCAACTCCTAGCAACTATGATATCAAACAGAATCCTAGCATTGCCGAAGTCATGAACAGCCCCTTACCTCTCCGAACCCCCACGTTGATGTTTCCTCTGCCCCCCTCAAACCAGAAGGCGGAGGTGGAGGTAATGGGCATGTTCAAGCAGGCTTTTAATTCCTCCGCAGGATCTATTTCCCCTCATCCCACCTTTGAGACTCTACAAGACGCGATAGTTCGAGAGATTAACTCTCATGAAGCTTTCCGACGGGTACCTGTCCCTGAGACCGGTCCTCTCTTTACGCCGTCACCATCTCAGGATTCTTTTGATCGAGGCGAGATCTCGGCAGTTCGAGGGGTGACCAGGAGTTTCTCCACAAAAGAAAGGCAATTTTCCAAACTAATCAGGCGCGGCTCTTTCAAGAAGCATAGAAGAGGCTCGGAGCACAAGAGCATATCAACTACCGCACCTGCGACGCTCTTTCGCCGAGGTTCCGCATCATCCAGGAGACGAAGGCACACAGATGCCCCACCTCCATCTCCCGGATTCCTCGATGTGAAGCAGGACGGGACACTTCAGGACAATGACCAACCTCAAGAACAAGAGCAAGTGACGTACATGGATATCCTCTTCCGAGCACAGAAGTCTCCTCCCAATTCCAGGAGGAGAAAATCTCCAGAAGGCGTTCGTGGCTTCGGACGAACTCAATCATCCGGCACCCTCGGTTCATCCAGCTTCTCGGACAGATCCCAGCCCACCCCTTCAGTCTACTACATGCGTGCACAGACGTGTTCGTCCTCCAGTGACGGCCGGAACAGCTTCTCCGCAGACGACAGCGATGAGGAGGTAATCCAGCTCCCCAGCATTGCAACCTCATGCGTCCAAATCCAGGCTGTCGACAAAAACAACGTCACCTACATGATGGAGAATACCACACCGAGGAATGCCTACCGGTTAATGAACTGGCCACATGGCACGCGCAGGGCTCTTTCTAGCCGAGGAAGCTCTGTCACTGGCGCAAACAAGTCGGCCCATCACTCCCCCAGACACGAACACCTTATCCGGAGCACGCGTTCGGTCGAGTCTTATTGATTTCTGTTACATTGAGCTCTACCTATCCTCTCCCTCTTCTCAGCCAGGAAATGAAAAAGATTCAATCCAGTCAAGTCGAGACGACGCGCTACTCCAAACACCCCATTCACACTCCTTGAAACACCAACTATCACATGACTCTGTATTTTCCTTATCTCTCAAATCATCCAGTTCCTACTCCATCTGTTGTATATACCAGGCGTTCTCCCGCAACCTTCGTCTCCATTCTTGGAAGCGTTTCTGCATCATCTCTGATCTTTGGGTCATTAAGCATAGCTAGGTGGGGAAGAAATTTTCGATACGCTAATATAATATCAATCATCCTGATAAGGCATTTACTCCAGCGTAGTAGCCTTAGTCGAGTCTCTTCCCCTCGTTTTAAGATGCTGAGGCACGACTAGGATGCAATGACGCTATGCTTCAGTTGTGACTGATGATTTCCATGCTCAAGGTATGGATATGGTATGCTAGATCTGACTCTGAATGCACTAACAAAACAACCACAGAGGTATCTCGAAGACCACTCCCCTAACACACTTCACCAATGCACCGAACCTTGTTTCTTGAATGTACCTTCATCTAAATGCATACATCCTTCACCGAAACTGAAACAGCAGAGAAAAGAAAATCATAAAGTCATAGTTACCACCGCCATGCAGGCGGTCGGACAATCCGACGTGGATATGCATGACTCGAATGCCATGTTGGATGCTTAGTAGGAACCTGCGCGCAATTAGTCAGTGATTTGTTCGAATCCTCTTCCGGCGGAGGATATAGAAAGGGAATGGCAACTTACGTCCAAACATACACCACTTCTCGGCCATACGGGTGCACTTGGGGTTGGTGCACTTGGTCTGGCCGGGGATGATGCCCTCGGGCTGATCGAAGGGAATGCAGAGAGACTTAGCGCCCATGCTGGGAGCCCTGGCATCCTGAGGCACACCAGAGTCCTCCTCCGCCTTGCGGGCGCTGAGTTCCTTGATCTGATCCTCGCACTCTTCTGTGAGACAGTGAGGGATGACGCAGATGTTCTTCTCATTGAGCGCGGGGGTGAAATCATCCCAGTTGGTGATGAGCTTGCGATGAGCGCGGAACTCGTCATCTGCGCGCTTGTACAGATCCTTGTGGATGGTATCCAGCAGAGCAGGGACGGCGGTGGACAGCTCATCAATGGGAATAGTAGACTTGCCATCCTTACCGGGAATGTCACGACGAGCGGCCGTGACGAAACGACCGGCGGACTCACCAGGACCGAATTCAATACGCAGAGGGACACCACGAAGCTCCCAGTCGTTAAACTTCCAGCCGGGGGAGTAGCCTTCTCTCTTGTCGCTATCGGCACGGATACCCGCAACCTTGAGGAGGGAGACAAGGCTGTCGATCTCCGCGTAGAGCTTCTCTCGCTCCTCATCAGAAGTCTTGGCAGTGATACCGACTGGGACGATGATCGTCTGAGTCTCAGCAACGCGAGGAGGAAGGACCAAACCGCGGTTGTCACTGTGAATCATGACCATAACGCCAAGAGTACGGGTGGAAAGACCCCACGAGTTCTGCCACACATAAAGAGGAGCCTTCTTTTCATCGGGTTTGGCAGATGGGTCCTCGACGGTGATCCCGAACATCTTACTGAAGTTCTGACCAAGACCGTGTGACGTTCCACCCTGGATACCACGACCGGTAGCAGGGATGTAACCTTCAACAGTGGTAGTGTAAAGACCACCGGCAAACTTCTCCTTATCTGTCTTCTGGCCCTTTACGACGGGAACAGCGAGGAGCTCTTCGTAAATCTGAGCATAGAGGTTGAGCATGTGTAGGACCTCTTCGCGAGCGGCCTCCTCGGTAAGGTGAGCAGTGTGACCCTCCTGCCACAAGAACTCTCTTGTTCTAAGGAAAGGCTGGGGATGCTTGAACTCCCATCTGACGACCGAGTTCCACTGGTTGAGCTTGAGAGGCAGGTCACGGTGACTTCTGATCCATTTGGCGTAGTAAGGGTACATAACAGTTTCTGATGTTGGACGGATGGCGATCTTTTTCTCAAGAGGGGTGTTGCCTCTGCAAAGGAGTAAAGTCAGTCATATAAAAGAAGAGTACGACGCTGGTCAAAGGGAAAATCATACGCATGAGTCACCCAAGCAACTTCAGCAGCGAAACCTTCGATGTGATCCTTCTCTCTCTGCAGCACATCCTCGGAGACGAATAGAGGGAACGAGCAGTTCTTGACGCCAACCTTCTTGATCTCTGCATTGAACCAGTTCTGAATCTCCTCCCAGATAAAGTAAGAAGCAGGCTGTGACTCATCAGCAACGGGACGATAATAGTTGATGGCAGTATACCCGTTCCAAAAAGCAATCGTACCTTGAGAATGAAGCATCCAGAAACGTCGTAGTAATCCAACATGTCACCCTTCGTAAGAACCTGCTGATACCACCCAGGAAAGTCCTCCTCTTTGGAGACATCGATACCGATCAAAGCAGCACCTTCAATCTTCTTCTTAGGTGCCTTCAATGTAGCCTTCTTAGCCTCCGACTTTCCAATGCCCTTGTTCGCAGCCTTCTCAGCCTTCTCAGCCTTCTCAGCAGCCTGCTTTGCTAGCTTTGCTGCCTTCTTGGCGGCATTCTTGGAGGTTTCGCCTTGGGGAGCGGCCTTATCAGTTTCAGCGGGGTTCTGAGAGCGATCAGGAAGGGTGACAGGGTCAGCAGCGACCGGAGCGTCAGCAGAGTTTTGGCTGGCCATTATGCAGACGAAGATCGAGTCGAACAGTCGCTAGAAGAACGGACAGAGAAAAAGAGCGCGATTGCCTAGGCAGATGACTCGTCCGTGGGAGCAAAATAAGGGCCGCATTCCCCTCGTCAAAGTGGGATGCGTCTTGGAAAATCTTCACCGCCTAGGGACCGGCAGAACTTTTAGCGGGAGACCAACAAGAGCGGGCAGCAGAACGAGATCTCCAGCAGTGGAAGCTCTGCCATCTCGTCACAAGCTTCTTTTTCTACTATCCAGTAACCATGGCAGGCATTTTCGAGGCGCCGCGCAACGCGGACACTCTTTGTGAGCTTCAGGCCCCCCCAAAAGGTCCTTATTTGAGACCGTTTTACTGACGACCATCGCACAGTCTTGGGTGGACAGAAAATAACTGGCGCTGATGTCCGCGAGCAGAATGGTGTGTGATAAGCCATTATAACCGACATGACTGAATTCTTGAATGCTGATGAGATACGCAGTCCTTGCGACTCAGGCTATTGCAAATGTTGTCAAGAGCTCCTTTGGTCCTTCTGGTCTGGACAAGATGATGGTGGACGACATAGGGGTAAGCGTTCAGAGCTCAACCCCTCGACATCTCGTGCAGAGTTCTGATTGTCAATATAGGATGTGACTGTAACCAACGATGGTGCCACTATTCTGAGTTTGCTCGACATCGAACACCCTGCTGGGAAGATCCTCGTTGATCTAGCTCAACAACAGGACAAGGAGGTATGGCCCATCGCTCGCGCCAATTCTCTGTCCTAGAAAGCTCTTTCCTGATCCTGTAATCTTTTAGGTCGGAGACGGCACCACTTCCGTCGTTCTCATTGCTGCCGAGCTTTTACGACGAGCAAACGAGTTAATGAAGAACCGTATCCACCCCACCACTATCATCAATGGCTACCGACTAGCCCTCAGAGAAGCTGTCAAGTATATGAATGAGAACATCACCACGAAAGTCGACACTCTAGGAAAGGACAGCCTGGTCAACATTGCCAAGACTTCTATGTCGAGCAAGATCATTGGCGCGGACGCGGATTTCTTCGCCAACATGGTCGTTGATGCCATGTTGCTGGTGAAGACCACAAATCAGAAGAATGAGGTTAAATACCCAGTCAAGGCTGTGAATCTGCTCAAGGCTCACGGAAAGAGCGGCACGGAATCTATGCTCGTCAAGGGTTATGCACTCAATTGTACCGTCGCTTCACAAGCCATGAAGACCCGGATAACTGACGCAAAGATCGCTTGTCTCGATATGAACTTGCAAAAGGAGAGAATGAAGCTTGGCGTTCAGATCACGGTTGAAGATCCTGATCAACTAGAGAAGATCCGAGAGAGAGAGTCTGGCATTGTTCTTGAGCGGGTAGAGATGATCCTCAAGTCTGGAGCAAATGTCATTTTCACAACTAAGGGTATCGACGACATGGTTCTTAAGCTCTTCGTCGAAAGGGGCGCCATGGCTGTCAGACGCTGCAAGAAGGAGGATCTGAGACGGATTGCCAAGGCCACTGGAGCTACCTTGGTAAGCTCACTCTCTGACCTCAACGGCGATGAGAAATTCGACGCATCAAACCTCGGGTACGCAGAGGAAGTTGTGCAGGAGAGGATATCAGACGACGAGTGTATTCTGGTCAAAGGAACTAAGGTCCACACCTCGGCCTCAATCATCCTCAGAGGGCCCAATGACTACAGCTTAGATGAGATGGAGCGTTCGGTTCACGATTCTCTTTGCGCCGTCAAGCGCACTCTTGAGAGTGGTAGCATCGTTCCTGGAGGTGGTGCCGTCGAAACGGCGCTCCATATCTACCTTGAAGAGTTTGCAGTCACAGTGGTACGTTCATTTCATATTTCTTCGCGATGTTTCACTCTCTCTAACAGCTCATCTTCACAGGGTTCTCGGGAGCAGCTAGCTATCGGTGAATTCGCCCAGTCTCTTCTCATTGTTCCCAAGACACTGGCAGTCAATGCCGCCAAAGATTCGTCTGAGCTCGTTGCCCAGCTCCGGAGCCGCCACTGGGCCTCTCAGCGCATCGAAGAAAGCCCCGCCAACAAGGACGATAAGGCTATCGCCAAGAAGAAGAACTACAAGAACTATGGACTTGATCTGACCAAGGGACGAGTCCACGATTGCATCAAGGCAGGTGTCTTGGAACCCAGCATGGGTAAGGTCAAGCAGTTCAAGAGTGCTGTCGAGGCCTGCATAGCCATCATGCGTATCGATACCATGATCAAGCTGGACCCTGAAAGGAAGGAGGATGATGGACACGGTCACTAAGAGCTCAATGACTACTTGGGTAACTTTACTGCTTATGCATGGAGTCTTAGATCTAGGTAAATAAGTCTAAAAGCATAATAAGCTATTACGAGTACAGACTTCCGGTTTATTTCATTTCCGTAATCCATAATATTGTTTTCTTTCCCATCCCTCACGGATAAGTCTCTATTCCTGCTGCCTCGGTGGCCAAAGTTGCTCCATTTTAGGTCTTGTTCGGCACCGAAGGTCTCTCTTGAAGAAGCTCATTAAGCTGATCCTTCGGTTGTCAACTTGTTCAGGATTGTGTGCATTTCCGCACTTGTAACCTATTCAGCGGCGTATTGGGAGAGATACTCTTCCTTCACAAGGAATCAGACCAAAGAAAACGCCTCTGATTATGCTTGTCATGTAGGATAAGCTATGTAGTAAGCCTCCTTAGGGCATGATCCAACTGACCTCACTTTGAACAAAATCGCTCATAAACAAATGCATGTGTCCAACCTTCAGAAACCTGAAAATGGCTTCTTCCATAAAATGCACTATGCACCAAGGCACATTGCTGCTATACAATGCATGCCGCTAAATGCCAGAGTAAGCTGCTGCATGCCGTCTAAATCGAGCAGCCAGATCCACGCTAAACGAATATAAACTAAACCCAGACGCCTCAACATGCTCACATGAACCATAAACCAGCAAAGCAGGAAAGCTTTCGATTCTCGAAAGGTCATTCATCGTCGTCGTCATATTGATTTTCGATGTCAGCCCAGCCACACTTCCATCGTCTACCTTCCGTCTCGCCACCGACTCGTAGGTCCCGAGCATCAGGCCCTTCGCGCCAACACCTAGCACTATAGTCGTCGCTGACTGTAATGAGCTCCCCATCTACAGACCACGAGACAGCTGACACCTCCTTCTTGTGGCCCTCGACCAACGGTGTTCCTGATTGGTAGATTGGCACGGTATCCTCCAGTCGTCCGGACAAGCCAACTGCTGAATTAGTGCGGCGTAAGCCAGAGCGAGTGAATGGCATCCCCGGCGACTGGGTATTCAAATCTATAGCTGGTTTCTGAGCGGGAGAATGAAGGAACCTCTCATCAGTCGGGAAGAGGACGGCACAATGATCACTGCTTCCAACAGCCAACATTTCCGCTTTGTCTGCTACGGCTTTGCGGACACTGACTTTGACGTAGAATGAAGACACCTGCAACCGCGGATGACGAAAGCCGTACAATGGACCCAGGCCTTCCTTGTCAGAGCCACCTGAGCGTCTTGGACGATCGTTGTACAGAGAAAGTTCAGGCGCATGTCCGAGTACCAGGTGGGATGTGGAGTATGCATATACAGTGCCATCCCTACAGAGAGCATAAAGCCGCGAACCATCACCATTGAGTGTCAGTGAGGTAAGTCCAAAGCGCCTATATTTAATGTGGCTATCTGGTTCACGAGTTGTCGAGACGGGAAGGACAGGGCGACCACGACGGTTGCTGTGTGCGGTACGCAAATCCCAGAGTCTCACGCATGCATTGGCCTCCGACGCTGTCACGAAGAGATTTTCGCGGCCGGGGGAAAGAAACGTCAATGAGGTTACCGTGATGTCAGAGCGGCCAATTTGGGGTTCGGATTTGTCAGAGATCGAAGTCTGGGGCATCCAGGCGTGGGCTCCATGTATCGTATTAAGAACTTGGGGATAGATCATCTTAGAAGCCAACGACGAATTGTCTGAATCAGATTCCAGCGAGCACCGGACCTGTAAAGATGGCCTCTCGAAGCCTTTGCACCGCAGATCCCAGATGTTGACATTTCCATCCCGGCTGCACGTTGCAAGGACTTTATTATTCGCCGCTGGTTGGAATTGAACGCGCTTCACTGAGGATACATGGTTTGATAGACAGTATATCGGTTTCTGCGTAGCCATATCAATCACCTGTGCCGTTTGGTCTCCAGAAGCTGTTGCCAGTAGCATATCATCGGACGAGAATTCAAGATCCATTATTGCGTTCATATGGGGACGAAAAGTTAGGTACGCCTTGGAAAAGCCGCTTTTGTCGTCTTTGGCAGAGTCAAGTAATCGTATGCCTCCTTCTTCATCGCCCACTGCAACAAGTGAGTTTGCTGTAAGATTGGAAAGCAGTCAGCGAAATCCGCAATGAATGAGCAGGAGCGAAAGATTGAAGACGAGAACACCACATACTATTACATGTTGCAGTGCAAAAAGGCAGCGCGAGACGGTCCCCGGTGTAGCTCGCGCAGGAATGGCTGTCGGTCGAGCGAGAGTAGAACGCTGAAGTCATATCCTGCCACCCTAGAACATAGTGAGAATAGGGTAAGAAGATCCAGTATGAAGATATAACCAACCAGCCCCAACATTGGATCGCATTGTCACTCGATTAGCCCGTGGTCCTAAGACACTTCGCATGTAAAGCCCTCCGGATGTCTGCAGCGTGTGGGAGCGTCGAATAGGCGCAATGGGAAGCGATAGCTTGCTAGGCATTACAGGTTTTGGTTCAATATCTTGTGCGTCATTGCCAGCCTTGATATCCCTAACCGAAACACTCAACTCCTCCCCATCTTCAACAGGAAACCTGACACGAACTTTCCGCAATGGCGACGATTGTAGGGGAGAACCGACAGAGGAGAATGATAATTTTCGCTTCCTGCTTGGAGTCCGCATAAGATCTGAAGAGTGATTATCAACAGTTCTATTTCCCACTGCTTTCAATGCCCGTGTGAAGGCTGGACCCAGACGGTTGACAGCTGGTGAGCTGAGCACCTTCAAGGCCTGTCGATTCGTCCTAACCGATCCCGCGCCATTTCCGCCGTTCAGCATCGAACGAGGAGTAAAGAACCGCCGAAAAGACCGTGGAGTGACTGGTGGAGGCTTCTTAGGTTTACGTCGCATGCCAGCATCCGATGCTATCGAGGGTGGAGATGAGGGAAACTCCTGTGCTGGCGAGGCAGGAAACACAGGTTCGGATCGAGGTACTTCGGGGAGGTCATAGGAGCTATCCATTGTGGGTTATAGGCAAACGAAAGACATACAAAGGCATTCTATTCAAAGCAAAACAACAGAAGGAAAAAAGGAATAGGAGCAAAATGGGCTAAATGGTGCGAAATTGCGGCATGGTGGAGCTGGGGAATGGAGTGTAGTCCCTCGTACTATCAGCTATGCGTCGCGGGCAGAACAAATCGGTCTCGTGTCGACGTGCTTTTTTCGTGACGCGCGCTGCTTCTTCCGGTAGGCGGTGGACTCTTCAATTAAAGTGATGGGGTCGTGCCTGATGCGGAAGGCGGTCTGTCATCATAGATCCAGAAATTTTTTGAATCCGCTATTTTTTTTGTGAAACTGGTTCCGCTGAGCTAGCTGGTTTGAAGGACGTCCAGCAAGTTTGACACAAGGTCGCATCTGATTATCTGGTGCCCTTTGTCCATCAGCTATGGCCCCTATAAAGCGCAAGGGCAATGCTGCGGAGGAGGCAGTGACTCGTCAGCCCCAGAAGCGTGTTCGAGTTGGAGGAGCTGAACAGGGCAAAGATCAGAAAAAGCAGAGAACAACAGAATCTACCAGCGATCTTAAACCTACCGAACTTACGGTGCTGCGCGATGACGAGCCTTCGTTTCCTCGTGGTGGCGGAAGCGTCCTCACACCTCTCGAAAAGAAGCAGATCCATATCCAAGCGACTAAGGATGTGCTATTCGAGCAGAAGGGGTCCAAGAAGTCATCTGACAATTTCGCCGTTGGAGATGACGATGAAGACATTGAGATGAACGATGCGGAAGACAATGCGACCTCTGCCAAACAGTCTCGGAAAAGGAAGACCAAAAGCAAGAAGCGCGCAGAGCAAGAAGCAAACGAGAAGCAGGGTGTGCGAATTGAAGGTCTCAACTTCAAGGTAGGTCCTGATTAAGCTTGTGTTGTGGCTGTTAATACAAAGCTGACAATTACAGCGTATTGTACCGGGATCGATGGTCCTAGGCCAAGTGTCGAGCATTAATGCTCACGATATTGGTTTATCTCTTCCGAATAACCTCACTGGATATGTTCCCTTGACTGCAGTTTCCAAGAAGTTGGAAGAGAAGATTGAGAAGATTCTTAATGATAATGACAATGAGGATAGCGACGCGGAGGAAGAGGAGGACGACGAAGATTCTTTGGATCTGACCGACTACTTCTATCTTGGCCAGTACCTGCGGGCATCCGTTGTTTCTGTTGGGAGCAACGCCGCAGATGCTCCTTCGAAGAATAAGAAGCGTATTGAACTCTCAGTCGACCCAAGACAGACAAACGCCGGGTTCTCAAAATCGGATCTGGAGGTCAATGCTGCCATTCAAGCTTCGGTTGTCAGTGTGGAAGACCATGGACTGGTAATGGACCTGGGTATCGAGGGCGCAGACGTCAAGGGCTTCATGTCTAAGAAGGAGATCGACCCCAAGACAGACTATTCGAGCATCAAAGAAGGATCTGTTTTCCTGTGCATGGTCACTGGCCAAAACGCCAACGGAAGCGTCGTCAAACTATCCGCCAACCTTCAGTCTGCTGGATCTATCAAGAAATCACATTATCTCAGCACGGCATCGACAATTAACTCATTCCTTCCCGGCACTGCAGCAGAAATCCTATTGACGGACGTCTCTTCTAGCGGATTGGTCGGTAAGATCATGGGTATGTTGGATGCCACAGTGGACTTGGTGCAGTCTGGTGGCAACTCTGGAAAGGACGACTTAACAAAGAAGTTCCAGATCGGTGCTAAGATCAAGGGACGTATTGTCTGCACCTTCCCAGCTTCTGAGCCATTCAAAGTTGGTTTCTCACTACTCGACCATGTTCTGAAGTTTGCGACTGAGGGTCATGGACCTGGCACGTCTGAGGATGCACCGGCAATTTCTGCAATCATACCTGAAACCAAAGTCGTCATGGTTGATCCTGGACTGGGTGTTTACGTGCAGATGGGCTCTACGAAACACATGGGCTTTGTTCATGTCTCCCGATTAGCAGACGGGAAAGTTGAAAACATCGCACCTGAACATGGTCCCTTCCGAATTGATTCCGTCCATGAGGCTAGGGTTGTCGGCTACAGTGCTTTTGATGGCCTCTATCTACTCTCCTTTGAGAGGAAGGTTATTGAACAGCCCTTCTTACGTCTGGAGGATGTGACTGTGGGTGCTGTGGTCAAAGGGAAGGTTGAGAAGCTGTTGATTGGGCCGGCCGGGGTAGACGGTCTGATTGTGGCTTTGGCTGACGGTATCACCGGTCTTGTTCCCTCTATGCACTTTGCAGATGCGGCCCTCCAATTCCCTGAGAAGAAGTTCCGGGAAGGCATGACGATCACGGCTCGAATCTTGTCGGTCAACCTTCAGAAGCGTCAGATTCGCCTAACTCTGAAGAAGAGTCTGCTCAACAGCGAATCTGCCATCTGGAAGGATTACCAAGACATCGTCCCAGGCTCTCAGTCTCCGGGCACAATTGTAAACATTCAACCACATGGCGCTGTCGTCCAGTTCTACGGCTCGGTTCGCGGTTTCCTTCCTGTGTCGGAGATGAGCGAAGCTTACATCAAGGATCCCTCGCAACACTTCAGACAAGGGCAAGTGGTTAACGTCCACGCTTTAAGTGTGGACCCATCTCTTGGAAAACTAGCAGTTTCATGCAAAGACCCCTCGACCTTCACCGAGACATATAAGAAGGCGTTCGAGAAGATTCAGCCCGGGCTGCTTGTCACAGGGACGGTTTTCGAGAAGTCTGTCGACGATGTCCTTCTGAAGTTGGACGAGTTCGGTCTTATTGCTCGGTTAGATCTGGCGCATGTGGTGGACGGTTCTGAATCCAAGCAGAGCTCGGCGCTCTCAAAGATTCGTGTTGGCCAGAAGCTCAATGATCTTCTTGTACTTGACATTCAGAGAGCCCGCAGACTCATCAAAGTCTCGGCTAGAGCGAGTCTCAAGAAAGCAGCGAAGCAAGGATCCCTTCCGGCCAAGTTTGAGGATATCCAAGAAGGCGCCGAAGTCACTGGTTTCGTCCGAAACATCACATCCGACGGACTGTTTATCGAGTTCCTCGGTGGCATTACCGGATTGGTGCCTAAGAGGCTCTTAGCGGACGAGAACGCCAGTAAATCTGATTATGGCATGCTCAAATCGCAGATTGTTACTGCAACTGTGCACTCCCTCGAGACCGACTTCCAAAGATTCATACTGAGCATGAAGCCTTCAGAAGCAACCTCAGCTGGTCCAAAGAAACCCGCTCCCAAGCCTACTCCTTCGAACGATGTGGTCGGCAATGCTGTGGATGAAAGCATCCAGTCGATGTCCGATTTCACCTTTGGCAGGACCGTGAAGTGTAAGGTCGTTTCTGTCAAGGCGACCCAAGTCAACGTTCAACTTGCGGACAATATTCAAGGTCGCATTGACGTCTCCGAGGTCTTCGATAAGTGGGAAGACATCAAGGACCGCAAACAACCGTTGCGATTCTTCCGTCCCAAGCAAATCATCTCAGCTAGAATCTTGGGTATCCACGATGCCCGCAGCCACAAATTCCTTCCAATCAGTCACCGCTCTGGGAAGTTCCCCGTTTTTGAACTTTCCATTAAGCCAAGTTTCCTACAGGCCGCCAACCCTTCCCCGTTGAACTTGGAGCAAGTCCAGGTTGGCTCAACCTGGGTCGGTTTCATCAACAACGTTGCCGACGATTGTCTCTGGATCAACCTCTCACCCAATGTTCGCGGACGACTACGGTTCATGGACGCTTCGGATGATCTGTCTCTTTTTGCCGACGTGGAGAAGCACTTTCCGATCGGCTCAGCGCTGAAGGTCCACGTCACTGCCGTCGACACCGAAAAGGGCCGCCTAGACCTGACAGCCAAGCAACGGTCTAGCAAGCTGTCCTTGGAAGACATTTCCATTGGCATGATTCTTCCCGGACGAGTCACGAAGGTCACAGAGAAGCAGGTCATTATGCAGCTCAGCGACTCAGTCGTGGGTGCCGTCAATCTGATTGATTTGGCCGACGACTACTCGAAGGCAAACCCTACTGTCTACCACAAGAACGAGGTGCTCCGTGCTTGCGTGGTGGGTGTCGACAAAGCCAACAAGAAGATTTCCCTCTCTCTCCGCCCGTCGAAAGTTCTGAGTTCCTCACTTGCGGTGCAGGATCCCGAAATCACGTCTATGAAGCAACTCAAGGTCAACGACGTGGTTCGAGGATTTGTCAAGAGAGTGGCTGATAGCGGTCTCTTTGTAACTCTGGGCCACGATGTAACGGCCTACGTTCGCGTCTCGGACTTGTCGGACTCCTACCTTAAGGAGTGGAAGGACTCTTTCCAGGTCGACCAGTTAGTCAAGGGACGGGTCACTGTTGTTGATCCCGAGCAAGGCAGATTGCAGATGAGTCTCAAGGAATCTGTCTTGGATCCAGACTACAAGGCGCCGATCACGATGCATGACCTTAAAGTCGGTCAGGTTGTCACTGGCAAGGTTCGCAAAGTGGAGGAATTCGGCGCCTTCATTGTCATCGATCGCTCCGCCAACGTCAGTGGTCTATGCCATCGTAGCGAGATGGCTGACAAGCGAGTTGACAGCGCCCGCACCTTGTACGAGGAAGGCGACGTCGTCAAAGCCAAGATCATCAGGATCGATCGCGAGTCAGGGAAGATTTCGTTCAGCTTGAAGGCTTCCCACTTCAAGGATCATGATGAGGAAGATGAAAGCGGCAGTGACGACGACGTCAGCCTAGATGGCATGGGTGGTGTCGATCTAGAAGGTAGTGACAATTCCGAGGATGATGACGATGACGAATCCATGGGAGGCGTTGATCTTGAGGAAGACAGTGAGAGTGATGGTGAGGAGAGCGACGAGGATGTGGAGATGACCAGCGCACCCGTTAACAGAGACGGGGGCCTCGGTGCAACGGGCTTTGACTGGAGTGGAAACGTCAAAGACGATGAGGACGAAGCGATGCAGTCGGATTCCGATGATGAAGACAGCTCTCGGAAGAAGAAAAAGAAGAACCGTAAGCCTGAGATCCAGGTAGATCGGACTGGCGAGTTGGACGCCAATGGGCCACAGTCAGTTGCCGACTACGAACGACTACTGCTCGGTGAACCTGACTCTTCGCTGCTGTGGCTGAAGTACATGGCCTTCCAGTTGGAGCTCGGCGAAGTCGAAAAGGCCAAGGAAATCGCTGAGCGTGCCCTTCGCACCATTAGCATCGGTCAGGACGCCGAGAAGTTGAACATTTGGGTGGCTCTGCTCAACTTGGAGAACACATACGGCAATGATGACAGTCTCGACGAGGTGTTCAAGCGCGCCTGCCAGTACAACGATACGCAGGAGATCTACGACCGCATGACGAGCATCTACATTCAGTCAGGAAAGAATGAAGTGAGTCACACCTGATATCAGTCATGAAGAGATGTTTTTTAAGTATGCGGATGCTGACTCAATTGACCTTACAGAAAGCGGATGAGCTCTTCCAGACGGCTCTCAAGAAGAAGATCTCCAACACGCCCAAGTTCTTCCTGAACTACGCCAGCTTCCTGTTTGATAGCATGGCGGCGCCCGATCGTGCTCGTGCTCTGCTTCCTCGCGCAATCCAGTCTTTGCCCTCTCATACGCACGTGGAGCTTACCTCTAAATTCGGCCAGCTGGAGTTCCGCTCGCCCAACGGAGACGTCGAACGTGGCCGAACTGTGTTTGAGGGCCTGCTCTCCTCGTTTCCCAAGCGGGTTGACCTGTGGAACGTACTCTTGGACTTGGAAATCAAGAATGGCGATGCGGAGCAGGTGCGCCGCCTTTTCGAGCGCGTACTTGGTATCCGGGACGCCAAGAAGGGCGCTGCTGCTCCCATGGATGCCAGCAAGAAGCTCCGTCCCAAGCAGGCCAAGTTCTTCTTCAAGAAGTGGCTGTCGTTTGAAGAGAAACTGGCAGCTGCTAATGGCGGTGATGAAAAGATGGTGGAGGAGATCAAGGCCAAGGCGGCGGATTATGTCAAGTCTCTGCAGAACGCATGAGCATTGCAGACAATTGTGTAAAGAGTTTGATTTTGTTTGTACTCATTGGGTGTTATGGGGTCATAGATGCATTGTATATACAAAAGCATTCCGGAAGACATGTCTTCTCGTCAATAAGCATAAAGACTTTTCCTGTGTATGTGATGCGCGAAGTAAAACACTCTGTATTATCCGTGGCATAAAAAGGCCTCAAAAAGGGTATTACATGTCAAGAGCCACAGATCAACGTCGCTTTTCAGCCATCAGCCGCCGGTACTCTTCCACGATAGTCCTCCGCTCGCTTGCCAGCTCCTCTCTCCGTCTCAAACTTCCCACGGCAGCAGGAACATTCGCGACATCTACTCGGGCTCCCCCGCGGACCTTGAAAACTTCCTTCGGCTTCGTCAATTGCGGCGGCGCCTGAACCACATCAAAGGGGTTCGCCGGTTTGTTCATCCGGTCTCGTTTCTTCAGCTTCGCCCACGGATCCGGGCCGTCATCCTCCAGGGGGCCGTCGCCCTTCTTCTTTCTTTTCGCGGCAGCGCCCTTTTTCTTCGCCTTGCCCTGGGCAGCCTCCATCTCCCACTCCTTCCACAATTCCAACTGTTCCTCCAGTTCGGCCTCCCGCTCCTCCCGCTCGGCCGCCTCACGCTCCAAGATCTCCGCTTCCTCCTTCCGCCACTGCTCCTGTAATCGACGAAGACGCTTCTCGTGCTTCGTCTGCCGCCCCTCGCGCAGCTTAGGCAGATCCGCTGACCCCGGCTTGCCTGACTTCTTCATTCCTGATATCGGCATCTCGCGATCGACCCGCGCAGCAAAGTCTGACAATTTCTCCCCCGGCAGAATCTTCACCTTAGACGAGCGCTCGGGTTCCGCAGTGGAGGTTGTAGATGTCGCAGCATTGGCGGTCTTAGTCGGAGTCGACGATGCAGCAGTCTTCTTCCGCGACGACTGCTTTGTGTCCTCGGTTGCATCGCGCTTGCGCTTCTTGCTTCCTGTCTCGCTGGCGTCGGTTTTGGGTGCTGCTTGCTTGCCGCCGTTGGCTTGGAGCTGCATCAGCCGGCGGAAGGCGCGGGGGGTATCATCGTCCAGATCGGACTTGCTGCGGGCAAATGTCGACGTGTTTTCTTTCTTCTTTGCGTCTTTGGACTTGGGAACGGGCTTTTTGCCTTTGGTTTTCGGGGCGTTGGGATCGCGGGACGGGAGAGGTTTCGCGATCAGGGTGGGTGGGAGGTCGTAGATGCTGTGGTGGGATTAGCGCGTTGTATATAATATTAATTGTTCTTTGATACTCACCTCGAGTCATTTTTTCTTCTCTTGTGCTTGTGAGGCATGGTGGAATGTTGTTCTGTAGGTCGTGGTTGGTGGAGACTGAAGCTGAGATGGTCGGCGAACTTTTTTTCCCTTGGGTGGTTGGCGGCAGATCTAATCGCTATCGCTAAGGTACTGACTGATAAGGCCGCTTAGATCCGACAATGGCACATTACATACAATGCTACATTCAAGGTGATTGAAGCAATCTTCTATAATTCCAGTTGTACGTTATCGACTTCCATATAATAGCAGCAATATCCTTGATGATATGATGCTTCCCTAGGCAGAGTAAAATCCAGAAGCGTGCTTTAAGATCCTATATCGACCTGAGACAGAACTCTACTCACTGCTCGGAAATAGCAAACATGTCAATGCTTGACGTGTATAGGCTTGCCGTGGCTACGTAGACTAGGGCAATAATGTACGTACGATACTAAATGTTCTTCTGTCATTATCAGAAATAATCGATCTAGGCAATTGAATCGATACTGGTGGATTAATATACAGTAGTGACTAGTGTCCTTGTCAGCCATCGCGAGCATCCTTCGGGTATATACCACAGTATATCCTCCGTAAATTTATATTGCGACACTTTCTCTGGTCATGCGAGCAGAATGACTTTTCTGCTTCACTACTACCGTTCAGGACTGGGGTGGTTCGGCTCCAGCGACTGAACTGGACTAGATTAAATTCTAAATGCGCATTGATGGTTCTTAAGAGAAACGCTATTCGTGTGGCAAATGGCGCATTGGATGAGACCCAGGCAGCAGAATTTGAAATGTAGGCCACCACTTTTGTCACGATGCCTGCCAGCCTACATTGGTTCATCTTCAAGATTTACCAACACAATATCCACGGGAGCCAGCGGTTATTGGGAGCGATCAACATTTTAGAGAGCGTCCCTCCTGTCGACCAGCTGCTTGTCCATCATTTATCTCAATGGTTGTCTCCCGAATGGTGGGGGCTGTTTTTCCGGTGTATCTAAACCCCGTGTCACTAAGGATGCAGACGGACTAGCACTAACTCTGCGCTGAATCCTTCCAAATCACAGAACCTAAGCCTTTCGTGTGGAGTAGAGACCCTTAGGCTTGAAAACGCTTAGAGGCCAACGAAACTGGCACGGCTCGCCTCTTTTGACGGACTTCTGGAGCGGTTTCAAGCCTCTTGTCGGCCCACCGTCCAATCGTCGTCGCTATAGCTGCACATGGGATGGGTCAATCCAGGGTCCAAAATCCTGGCGAGCCAGTGGTGATTTGCGGTGACTCGAGACCCCAATCATGTTGACGGTTCCTCCGCTTTAGAAGATATAGCCTCATGAGGGTAGTAGTAGAAGTAGTAGTAGTATTAATTCAGGCGTCCACTTTTCGGTACAGGGTCTTGGTGCGCAATGCTTGACCTTTACCCCTCTCGAGTTATAAATGCACATGAGATGACTGTCCTTGTACGGTTTTCTGTCGAAGAATTGATGGTGGATTTAGGCGGTTGTAGTTGGTGAGATACAAGTCATGGGCTTCTTATCCGCCCGCAAAGGCCGCTCTCCGCAGTGCTACGAATTTGTCCCGACTTCTCCTCCCTCCGACGACCAAGACGAACTGCAACGCGATAAACCAGACAGTCATGTTTCTATCGAGGAATTACCTGCAGACATCTCGATAGACGAATATCAATGTTCGGGCCAGGCCCGATCTCGATTCACATGGAGCCAACGACTGGCTGGGATTTCTTCGCTCTTCTCCTCAAATGAGGAGAAGATTGAAGATGCTCTACCTCTGCTCTCACCGGCCACTAAACGCTCAAAACGCTCAAAACGCTCATATACTTCCCATAGATGGTTCAAGAACCTCAGAGTATCCTATTGCTTGCTTCTTACTTTTGCGGGGGTTTTCATCATGCTGTGAGTTCTTGTCCTGCCCTACAATCACCACCACTCATCGGCGCCAATGACCGCTAATTGTGTTGGAACCCATAAAGAGGAATCATTCAATTCATCTCGATAGCCTGCGGCATTGTGCTCTCGTTTTTCCCTGACGAATTTGACAAAGCGGCGGGCCATTGGCACCACGTGCCGGACGACGACATTTACGCAGACATCACACGTTGGCCCACCGATATCTCGCGGGACATCATCCCTGTTGGGTGCCATTCACACAATGATTACTGGCGACGGGTACCCCTGTACTCGGCGTTGCAGGCGGGTTGCATTGGTGTCGAGGCTGATGTGTGGCTTATTGACAACGAGCTCTACGTCGGCCATACCTCCTCGTCCCTAACCGCGGAGCGCACCCTCAAGAACATGTACATCGACCCACTGATCAAGATCCTTGAACGGCAGAATCCAATCACCCACTTCCACCCAGCTCTCGATCAACCCCTACATGGCATCTTCGACACCGACCCTTCTCAAACCCTCATTCTCCTCATTGACTTTAAAACCGATGGGGAGAAGACATGGCAGCGTGTAATGGAGGATTTGTCGCCTCTGCGCGAGCGCGGTTATCTCACCTACTTCAACGGCACGGGCCTGACCAACGGCCCAATCACTGTTGTCGGAACGGGAAATACTCCATTCAATATGGTCACGTCAAACTCAACCTACCGCGACATCTTCTTCGACGCGCCACTAAGTCTCCTGGCTGAACACGAGGCTATCGCTTCTTCTGCAGATGCTGACGTCCCACAGGACTCAGCAGCCACCGCCGAGCAGCCTACCGGAAACGCCGGCCAAGGCCTGTCAGGTATCTCGGCCGGCGACATTGGCCCCGACACCTTCAACTGGACCAACAGCTTCTACGCCTCTGTCTCCTTCAAGAAGTCCATCGGCTATCCCTGGAGATTCCACCTCACAAACAAGCAGATGGATCTCATCCGGGGGCAGATCCAGGGCGCCCATCGTCGAGGACTCAAGGTGCGTTATTGGGGGTTGCCTAGCTGGCCTCGGAGTCTGAGGAATCACATCTGGACCGTTCTGGCACGTGAGGGCGTCGATATTCTGAACGTGGATGACTTGCAGAGCGCCACGAAGCAAGAATGGAAGGTCAGGATATTTGATTGGTAGGATGTACTCTGTTTTATCGACTGTCGCGCTGGCTTCGAGATGACTGCTGGGCGGTCATCTTTGGCCTGACACTGGACGATAGGACATGACATTGCTGCCTGTGCCTACCTGAATGTGTCTTTGGTTATGGATTTGACTTTATGGGGTTATATTTTCTGATTGGCGACATTTGCGAGTTCACGGCGTCGGTTCCGGATGTCCAATAGATGGTACCTTAGGCTTGGTTTTCTAGTTTCTGTTTTGTCCCATTTTACGTCTATTTTGATATAGATCAATATGATTTAGACTTGAAGAATCCATATATAAGGGGATGGCTGAAAACGCTTGAATATATCTCGGCTTGGAGTAATTGTTCAGTTGAATAGATTTTACCGCTCAATGATAGAAATGCGTTGATGCAGGATGATTCAGGGTATCAATATGTATCTCATCGTAATCTTCAGCCCCGCACTCGCCATCAACGAGTTACGCTGAAGCCAAAATAACATAAAGTACTTTTCAATAAGGGAAATCAAAAGCGGAAAGAGACGAATGTCACAGACACATCAAAGACTCTTCTCCAAACTCCTTGAGAATGGTCCCCTCGTCACGTAAAATACTACCGAGCCAATTCTTGGCCGTCTCGAAGTCATTCGCGCCAAATTTCACAAGG